TCCAGGTGCCTACTAGATGGGGCCTTCGGGGCTGTAGTACCTATATAGTAGGTACCTGGGGGGTTTGGGTTTGACTGGGCGGGAATGAGTTTTAGGGGTTTTCGGTTTAATACAAATTCGTAGGATTCTGGGCCTTTTGGGGTTTCGGGTCATTTAGGTTTCGGGGGTTTTGGGGTTTGGCTTCTTGCGGGGAACGCAAGACAGAAGCATGATCGTTCTTTACAATTCGAGAGGCTGTGAATGTAGCCCCACTACATCGCTACACCAGCTACGAGAAAACAGCTGAAAGAATTGCAACCGGCCGAAGGAGTACTGAAGTGCCAAACATGTGTACCCTTCATCTTTCTAGTGCTCCGTGGGTGTACCAGCTAGATCAAGGACCGACAGCGAAGTTTCAATCACTTATGAATTATTGGCCAGTGTCATCGAACTTTGAAACGATGCCGATGTGCTGCCGCTTAAACAGCACACCACTGGCTTCAAGCGCACGTTAGACATATGCACATGCGCATAGACAGCCTCATTATCGCCTCTAATGTTGTTGTTATTTGTATTTTCAGTTGTTGTTAGACTTTCTTCATTCGGATTGTTGTGCTGTTAGGAGTGTTACGACTGTTTCTACTCTTATTGTTACCGCTATTTCTCCTTCTTCTTCTTCTTCCTTGTAGTCCTGTTTGCATTATTAAGAAGAGTGTCATATGGGTAGTTCTCTGAATCAGGGCACCTTTTTTGGGTCCTTGTTATCCGGGTGCCGTACTGTATTGGGGGCTTGAAAAGGGATCCTAATTTAGAGAACTACCCATATGACTCTTCTTATTACATTTTTTGATATTTTTTTGATGCTTTAGTATGATTACTACTGTTGATGGCATAAATCCTTGCACCACCTTACGTAAGGACCCTAAACCATGGAAATTATGGTATTTTCCTTGTTATGGGTAATGCAGTATTTATATCATCAACCGTAGTTGTATTCTGACCATTGTCATATGCGTACAACCCCTAACCCCTAAACCCTGA